CCCCAGCCCCCCCCCCCCGTGTCACCCCCCCCAGGGGCAGCGTCTCAGCCGCCTCCCCTCTCCCTCCCCAGGATCCGGGTGCTGTGCCACAGGATCGTCAACGCCACCTGGTTCACCAACTTCATCCTGCTCTTCTTCCTGCTCAGCAGCATCTCCCTGGCCGCGGAGGATCCCATCCAGCCCGATTCCTTCAGGAACCAGGTGCCCCGGCGGGCGGTGGGTGGGGGAGAGCGGTTTGAGCCACCGGGGCTGCCTGCCGTGGGAGAGCGGCCTGGGAATCAGGACCCTGGCCCTGAGAAGGGAGTGGTGTCTAGTTGTTAGATCAGCAGCCAGCCCCGCTACGTTCTGCTCCCAGGCTTAGAGACGGGCATTCAGGACTCCTGGCGTCTCGGCTCGGCTTGGCTCGGTCAGGGGAGCTGTGTCGCTCTGCTGGAATCAGGAGCCCTGGCTCTGGCAGGAAAGTCTGTTCTGCAGCAGCAGCAGGGCTCTGGGTGCTGGCTGCAGCCTGACCCCAGCTCACCTAGTGGCCTTGGGCAAGTCACTTCTCTGTGCCGCACTTCCAGTCTGTAGCCAAGAGTAATAACGCTGCCCTGTGAGGGTAAATTGGTTCCCCACTGGGAGCTGCTCAGTTCCCATGGTGCTGGGAGCAGTCGGGAGGCCTCCAGTGTGGTGGGAAGCCCTGGAGATGCCACCAGTGCAGCCTGAGTTAGTCACTAAACTCCCCAGCCGGACAAGGGCCATCGGGCAGGGTGGGGCGGGGCACTGAGGGGCCCGGAACAGTCGCTCTCCCAGGGCTCGCCTGGCTAGTTCGTGCTCAAAGCCAAACCGACCGCCGCGTGTGGAGTCAGGACTCCTCTCCCAGGCCACACCAGCTGGCATCAGGGGTGTGGCCTGTTTTTTGCCTTCCTGTGGGGCACAGACCAACAGGGTATAAAACAGCCCCCTGCCGTTGGTGGGCCCTCGATCCCTGCACTGCCGGTGGTGCGCGACGGTCCGCAGGCTGTCACACTCGGATGCGGCGGTGGATGTTGCTTTATTGACACGGGGGTCTGGCGGTCCTTGAGACACAGGCCGGTCTCGTCTGGCCTCAGCCTCTCTGGCTGTGCACACGCGTAGACCACACAGGTTCAACCCAAATACGTTTCCGGAGAAGCCAAGAGCCCGTTACTCACCCTGCTCTTCCCCCGGCCCGAAACGTGGCGGGCGCAGCTCGTGTGACTGACGCGCTGCACAGAGCAGCATGGGAGAGTCCAGCGTGGGTGTCAGCCAGCGCGGGAGGTTGTTACAGCCGGGCCGCATGTGGGAGGTGGCTCTGTGTCTAGCGCAGGGTGGCTGGGTGGGGGTAGCGCTGGCGAATAGCATTGTGGGGTCTCCTCCCCGTTCTGCGTGGCTTTAGACAATCTGCCTTGTTGCAACGGGGCTGATAAAACGGTATCATCTTGGTGACAAGCTTTGGCACCCGGCAGCACCTAAGTTGCTGCTCGACAGGCCTGCGCGGCAGGAAGTGAAGATTAACGCTGCTGGGAGTGGCGCTAATACCGCTACAGCTGCCGGGGGATTAGAGGAAGCAGGGATTAACATCTCCCTGTCTGGCCAGATTGGCTCCGTGACCCGAATGAGCACAGAGAGCGTCGGCCTCAGTGTCTTGTCCCATCAGCGAGACAGCAGCTCTGAGCTGAGGAAGCGATCAGGGGACAGTGACGAACAGCTGTGAGATTCCCCAGGGATAGCGCCCATCCAAAGATTGAGCAGGCCTGTTCCTACAAGATGAACCTCTCTCGTCCGGCACTGTCTGGTCCAGCAACATCCGTGGCCCGGCATGATTTGAGTGAGCCAGGTGTCCACTTGTCATGGGCGTGGCCAAGTTTCCTGCCGTTCCTTAAAGTTGTACAGCCCCCAGGCATGGCTGTCAGTGTTCTGCGCTGTCGGTTAGCTCGAATTTACCCCTAAGTGTCCTCATAGACTCCTAGACTTTAAGGTCAGAAGGGACCATTCTGATCATCTAGTCTGACCCCCTGCACAGTGCAGGCCACAGAATCTCTCCCACCCCTTAGAATAATCCTCTCACCTAGATCTCAGATATTGAAGCCTTCAAATACTTTGGAGACCCCAAGATGCAGAGAATCCTCCAGCTGTGATCTGTGCCCCATGCTACGGAGGAAGGCGAAAAACCTCCAGGGTCTCTGCCAATCTACCCTGGAGGGGAATTCCTTCCCGACCCCAAATATGGCGATCAGCTAAACCCTGAGCATGTGGGCAAGACTCACCAGCCAGACACCCAGAAATTCTCTATAGTAACTCCTATCATCCCTCCATTGACCTATTTCCCACTGATAATGAATGGCCAATTAGTTACCAAGATCATGTTATCTCATCAAACCATCCCCTTATCATAGAATCATAGAACTGGAAGAGACCTCAGAAGGTTAGCAAGTCCAGCCCCCTGCTCTAGGCAGGACCAATTCCAACTAAATCAACCCGGCCAGGGCTTTGTCAAGTCGAGACTTAAACACCTCCAGGGATGGAGACTCCTCTACTTCCCTAGGTAACCCATCCCAGTGCTTCACCCCCCTCCTAGGGAAATAGTTTTTCCTAATATCCAACCTGGCCCTCTCCCACCACAACTTGAGACCATTGCTCCTTGTTCTGCCACCTGTCACTACTGAGAACAGCCTCTCTCCATCCTCTTTGGAACCTCCCTTCAGGAAGTTGAAGGCTGCTCTCAAATCCCCCCTCACTCTTTGCCCGGTAAGCAGTGGCGGCTTCGGCAAAGCTGCTAGGCAACATTGACCTCCCACGGTCCAGAAATGTCTCTGGTTCGGCACCAGTCAGATCCCGAGGGAGCCGGACTGGAGAGGTTCAACCTGTGCTTAAACACAGACTCACAGAACACTAGAGCTGGAAGGGACCTCGCAAGGGCATCAAGTCCAGTCCCCCGCCCTCCTGGCAGGACCCCGCCCCGTCAACACCGTCCCCCATAGATGTCTGTCTAACATGAGATCAGATGGCACCACCGAGGCACTTGCATGAAGCCAGTGCATCTCCTAGTATGATGTCTGGCCTGAGTTGCTTCCTGCCTCTTCTAGGATGACAGGAAACCGTTCTAGAAATCCTGGAGCACGGCTAGTTTCCCAGAAGCCTCAGCAGCGTGGGGGCACACGGCTGCGGTAAACTAGGACTGATCTAAAAAACCGGAATCAAGACACCTGGCTTCTGCCCCTGACTCTGCCACTAACTGCCTGTATGATCACTGGCAAGTCACTTAACCTCACTCTGTGCCTCAGTTTCCCCGTCTTTAAATTATCTAGAACTATCATGCTTTGGACAGAGAGCACCTTTCATCAGAGAGCCCCAAAGCACTGTCACTAGCCCTCATTTTTCTTATGAGTGAAACTGAGGCACAGAGACGGGCAATTACATGCCCAAGGGGGCCCACCAAGATGCTGACAGAGCTGGGAAAAGAACCAAAGAGTTCTGACACTGTCGGCGGTGGGTCTTTCCCAGAACCGAGAATCAAACACAGAACGCCTGCCTCTAAATCCCCAGCATTAATCTCTGTCCCTGTCCAGAGATGGGACCAGTTGGCAGGAATCCTGGGTCCCAGGCTCTAACCATTGGACTGCCGTGCTCTGCCAAGGGCAATCCTTTCCTACGTGTTGTGGGGGCTGGCGGCTTAGTTCCCCACAGCACGTCTGCGTTAGTGCTGCGTTTGTGATCAGCGCCCGGTGAGCAGTTTGCATTCAGCGGGGCCGTGTGCCAGAGCTCTCGGCTGCAGGACAATCCAACCACATCTTGCGTCTCAAGTCACCAAAACCTCTGCCTGGTTTTTCTCCTCAGGTCCTGGGATATTTCGACATCGGCTTCACCTCTGTGTTCACCGTTGAAATAGTCCTGAAGGTGAGTCACGCAGCCCGTCCTACTGGGGACGGTGTGTACTGGGGTGACCCCGCCCGCGTGGGGAGCTGCCGATGGGGCCGCGTTGGGGCCGAGTGGAGGCAGGAGTCAGCTGCAGTGAAGGGGGATCTTTGCTTGAGGCTCCTGCACACAGATACTGAGGGTTCGCTGGCTGTCTGGCTGCCAGTCTGTGCCGCAGTGTCGCCACTGGGGGGGCCTCCGAGGCACCGCTGGTCAGAAAACGTTCCTTACAAGTTTTGCGTTAGTTTCACCGCAACAGAATTTGTCCCATGAGGTTGTGCTGATTTTGACAAAGTCCATCAGAATGCACGAGCGGTGTGGAACCGTTCAGAATGGCGTTTAGAATTTGACGGCTTTTCTTTTTTCATCTTCACCTTGTTTCATAACATGGCAGCAGTAACGGTGTGTAGCATGTTTCAAGCAATGCGAATTAGCACCTGCTATTGAGGTATGCCCTGAAAACGCCCTATTGCTATGACGTGCCATAAAAGTAGAAATATTGTTGTAATTGATTTTATTTGAAGCCTCCTCAAGGCCAGCTGCCCCTGGCATGCACTGAAACATTTTGTCTTTCCCTCTAGGTCGGAATGGCTCCTGTTTGTGTTGTAACGAAATAGCTTGGCTCGCAATGCAAACAGGAAGCATTTTGATCTAGGAGAGAAGACAATTCAATCAGTGCTAAGCAGCAGCTGCCCTTAAGTGGTTTAAAAATTCACAGATTCACAAGCTGTGTCTACACGGCCACTTTAGTCGTTCCGGAGTATGAAAAAAGCCCCACTTCTCTCGAGTGACAAAAGTTTTAGTGCTGAAAGCGTCAGTGTAGACAGTGCTTTATCGCCAGGAGGGAGCGTCCTCATTTGGGGAGGTTTTCTTTATCACCGGGTGAGCTTTCTGCCCGTGATAAAGCGTGACTGCTGTGGCCACATGACTGCATCTCCTCGCAATGAAGCGTGACTGTAATGTGGGCCGTGCAGACGTACACATAGATTCCAAGGCCAGAAGGGACCGTTTCTTACGTTCATCTGGTTTGACCTACAACGTGACACAGGCCCACAATAGCACCAACTGCAGAATGCCTAGAGAAAAACATCCCTCTTCAGTTTAAAAATTGTCGGTGATGGAGACTCCGTCAGAACCCTCGGTAAATTGCTCCAGTGGTCAATTACCTTTACTGTACAAACTTTACCCCCGTCTGAATTTGTCACGGTTCCACTTCTACCATGGCTCCATATTGTGCCTTTTTCTGCAAGACCAAGACAGCCATTATTAAATATTTACAGTAAAATACTTGAATAATGATATTACTTACTCTGTGATGCGAGTAGTAGTGGCGCAGGCTACATGTCATGAAATCATATAAAATTAGTAAACAGTACAACCAGAAAGAAACTGCAATAGGAAACAAAACAGCCATGTGTTACAAGAGCAATATTGTTCAAAGCTTCCCTTTCACGGAGATTTTGCAAATACGGGTTTTGTTCCAGCGGAAACAGAGCCAAATGAGGATGCATCGAACTGTCTCATGAAGCGGAAACGCTGCGTTTTGACCCGCCCTGCCCCGGAGTCCTGCCCCAGACGCAGCGCTCAGAGCAGGCACGGCTGTACAGTGGCTGGATGGTAGCCCCAGGGCGGCGTTTCTGTGGCTCTCAGTCCCGTTCCTAGGCCACAGGGCCATCACCCTGGGTGGCTGGCCCAAGAAAAGGACTTTCCTGGGGTGACTCCTGTGGGGCAGGGCGGAGGGGCAGTGATACGTGATTCGCTTCCGTTGCGGTGCCTTGTTTGTGGGGTCGTTCTCCTGGGCTCCAGTCTGGCTTGACGAGCAGCAGTCACTACAGAGAAAGGGGATGAGAGGTGCTCTGCCCTGTCCCCACTGGCTCCCCTCTGC